TCAGCAGGTGGGACATTGTAGTAGCCCCGCTTACGGGGCCACCAGCGCCTGAACGGCCAGTAGCCTTCAGCTGGGGTTTTAGGGTTGTTCGAGGTTTAGGGTTCCAGTGTTTCAGGGTTTAGGATTTTACTTTGCTTTCTGCCTTGGCTGTAAGCGTTAAAAGCTGTTAGCAGGGGTACTCACTGTCTCCAAAAAATTCAAGCTTTGCGCACAGCCGGAGCCGTCTGAGAGCACGGCCAGGCCACGTTGCTTTGCCTTGGCCGGCAATCTGCTCCTCCAGGCGGGGATTCTTTGATATATATATATATGTGTATGTATATGTGTATATATATATATATACACATACACATACATACATAGATAATGTATTGGCGTAAAGAATTCATTAGCAAGACTCTTCTTATTACACTATTCGTTACGGAGCCCTAGGGCAGAAACACTTTGCCGATTCCTCAGACCCCGACATGCTTAGCTTCCGAAGGCGATGCCAAGCAAGGCCCCCAGAACCCTCCGTAACCCGCAGATCCCTGAGCCCCAGCTTCAGGTCTGGGCAGCGTCTCTCTGGGTGTATGACCTACTTTGAGAACACGCCCCTGGGGAAGGGTCCCCAGATGTTGGAGCTTTTAACACTTCCCTCCATCATCTTGTGCGATGCGAGCAGAGTCCGAATATTTGCGGAACCCAGAGAACCCAATACCCCTTAATGAAGGAATATACCTTAAATCATAATAAGGCCTGTATGACTTAAGGTATATTCCTTGATTAAGGTGGGTTCTCAGGGGAGTCGAAGCAGCCTTGAGCCGGATGAGGTCCTTCGTCGGGTCCAGCACCGCCCGGCGAGGAGGAGACTGCAGGAGGCTGCTGCAATCTGCACGGGTCTCCTGGATTCAATTCTGTTTCTTCCCTATGACAAAACAAGGAAAGAAAGACAGAAAGAGAGCGAGAGAGAGAGAAGGGCACAGCCGGCATGAAGGTCGGGCTCGCACTAAGGATGGCACCACTGTTTCATTGATGATTGCAGAAGCCACGACCCCGACAAAAAGCAGTTAGCCACAATCACGAGAGCGACATTAGTGATCATTGAGCACCTGAATCAGCTGAACCCCAGAAATCTAATCCCCAGCATTCCACACCTCCAAAGCCAACAACCACCAAACCACCCAAACCCCAGAAGCCCAACCTCCAACCTCTCGAAGCCCCCAAACCCCAGAAGCCACAGCAGCAAGCCTGCGAGTCCGAAGATGCAGAAGCCCTCCGCAGGGGGGTGCGAATGAGAGTCTGGCTCCGGGTTTAGTGTTCTAGGGTTTATAGCTTATAGGGTTCGTAAGGCTGACTTGTGATTTTTTAACTTATTTTTTTGTCAGGCTGTCGGATTAAGGCTCAGTGTTTCTGGTTTTCTAGTCACACATGTGGGTTTCGGAGTCAGGGTTTGGGGTTTCGGGCTGTGCAAACTCAGACTCAAGTACATTGTTTACATGTTTGCATGTTTAAACGCGTCTTCCATATGTATGTATGTATGTATGTATGCATGCATGTATGTATATATATATATATACATACATGTATATATATATATACATACACTTGTATACACATACACATCCATGAAATCAGAACCTTGCTTTGTGGGTGTTGGGATGCATCCGGGTTTGGGCTTGGGGGGAGCCGGTTTACAGGATTTGGGTTTGGATTGTGGGCCACCAAATGACTAGATTAAGGTTTACGAGTTTAGGGTAATGTAGCAACCTGATCAAGAAACCCTGGCCGTATAACCCCAAAGTATTAGGATTCATA